ACCGTTCCCTTGATTTACAGGCTCATACGTAATATGAAAAGATCTGTGGACAACTTAAGCCACTCTTCAAACATTCCATTTTCACGAAAGAAAAGATTAGCAACTATGACATCAGGCAATCATAAATCTTTAAACTCTTTATTAACTGGGACTAAAGACTCGATTTTAAATGATGATCAAAATCCTACTCATAAATCCACTTCCGATATGTCACGACAAATAGCTCGTCATATCGCATTTCATTCAGAACCCGATTTTGCAACTATAAATAATGATCAGACCATAGGCCACGAACAGCGCCAAGATAATCGTCTTAATACCAAAATGCAATTTTTGAAAATTAAAATGGATGAAATCATAAAACAAGATTTCAATTTTCTGTTAGACAAAATTTGTACGCTTATGAACTTCAAAGCACACTCAATAAGAGGAATAGCTCAAATCAATCCAACAACTGCAGCGCGAATACTTTTGAATCGAGAAGACATATTCGCTCTTTCTGCAGGAGACGTATTAATGGTCTCCAAATGCAAAGAAATCGTTGTGGATGAAATTATTTTCGATCATAATATAAGAGGAACTTGTTATATCTTTACACCAGTCAGAGCTGGGAAAAAGTTTTATTTTATTCAACCAGGTACACGTGATCTTGTTAAGTCTAGTCCACGAGCTGACTGCGGACATTTACCATTTGGCATTTACAATGATGGAAACAACCATTATAAGTCACCTTCGGGATATGCCCAAGTGACAAACATTCATTTGAATTTACCTAATAATCTAGCACAAGAAAATTTTATTTTCAATTCCCCTCCAATTTTTCATTCGGATCTTGCTAAGATTTCAACTGATCTATACCTTATCAAAAACCATCTCAACTCGATGAACAATTTATACACTGTCCAGTCAAAATCAGTAAGAAAGGAGTTACCAATGTCAGACCAGTTCGGACAGGAACTAACGGACACAGCAGCATTTCTGGAATCCAACGCAGGAGAGTTTCTACAATCACAAAAGGAAAAAGTTCTCGAATCCTTGGGCTTGCACAATCTGGTCAGAACGATTGTCATCGTGTCTATTTGTCTCTTTCTTCTAGTAGCTATCGCAATTTTATATTGCCAAACTACTTTGTTTCGGATACCGTTGAACCTACTCTTTCGAGCCATAGGTAATTTATCTCCTTTCATTTTTTCCTCCACCTGTAAGAAACGAAAATCTTCTCTGACCATTGCGGCAAAACAACATACCCAGGATAACACCGTAGCTAATAGTGGACCAGTAAGCGTGTCCATTCAGCTTCCTGCTTGTATCAATCTTCCAGCTGCTCCCCTGCCAATGATTAACCTTCCTGCTGCTCCCTTACCGATGATCAATTTACCAGCAGCTCCAGATCCAATAATCAACCCACCGTCCGCTCCAGTTACGACATTTCATCAACAATCGGCTTCACAACCACCTATAATTCGCATACCGAAAGCACCACCTGCATCACAAGCGACTAAACAACAATTTTCAAATCTTTTCCCAGGAATTTCTTGTGTCCATCATGGAAATACTAGTCAAATGATTTATCTCTTGGCTAAACTCAACAACTCATCAATAGTAGCTCTTCTAGACACCGGATCCGCTCTTACAATCGTCTCCGAAACAGTCGCTAGAAAAATCAAGGCTCAGCTTTCTCAGCCCTTGGTTACAAAAGGTATCACAGCAAATGG